GTAGCAAAGGACAAGTCTTCCTCTTAAGGTTTGACACGCACTCTAAACCTACCATATTGCATTAAATGATCATTTAGTGCACTAGGTATAAATAGAAATGTTTCTTCTCCATGCAGAGCGCGCGCATCTCTCTCTAACCTTATTCTTACTTCAAGCATTTTCTAGCTTAAGTAAATGATCTTTCTTTTAGCAATCTCTTTTCTTGTATTTGCTAAAGCTTTATGTGTAACCAAAGATTGTTTAGATAGGTTGTTATTACCTTATCTTTCCACAAACAATCTTGTAAAATCTATATTGATCTTCTCGATCAATATATATATTTTAAATTTGAAAATATTGTGTTTGTATTCATCCCCCCCTTCTACAAATTGTTTCTCTTCTTGTAGACCCTTACGGGACCAACAATAACTAATGCCACATATAAGGATGCTAAGAAGGTGCTTTTGACACTTGCACAACCTGGCTAAACATGGAAGAATAAGGCTTTTAGAACCTTAAACAGTAGGGACCTTCTTCTTACTGTAAGCATTTGGTTATATTTCTTTGATACACTCTCCAGCCAACCACCCATGACACTAGCTTGACATTTGAAAGAATAGTGATCCTTTACCGCATCATGACTGGAAAAAGGTTTAGTGTGGGGGAGGTCATCTGTAAAAGTAGCAAGTCATGTGTAGAGAAGAACAAGGGAGATCTTTGGCACCATCCCTAATACATGCATTACTAACAAGGGCAAAAGTAAGGTTTCTGCCTACTAATGAGTTTATGATAGGAAAGGCTATCATTGAGGTGCAGACTATCAAAAGGGTGAAGAAGAATGCAGAAAAGGCAATGAAGAAGACTTCCATTGCTACAACATAAGTTATGTTTGCTAAACAACCACTATTGTTACTGGCACTTCCACCAAAGCACCAAAAGTTCCAAGATCAGAACCTGCACTAGCACCACAACCCAACCTCATCAATAATTCATTCATATATTTGGCAAAGGAATTGGAGAAGAACCACGAAGCCCTCTTGAAAAGATTGGAGGAGAGAGATGCCATTTGGATGCAAGGATGGAGAAGCAGATAAAGGAGCTTGAAGCCAAAGTAGAGAAAAGTGAACAAAAGGTGTTGGTCTGTTTGAAAGAACATGATATGGCCATGCTATAAATAAGGAAACTCACAGCTCTACAGAGGCACTACCAAATGAAGAAAGATGGAGTCATGGGGGCTGATTGGACACTGGAACATCCAGAGGAGTACGCAAGCATTGGACCATACCCACCAGAGATGATCAAAGAAGAAGAGAAGTTCATTCCTCAAGATGCACCACCACCTACTATTTGTGCATTACATACAAAAAATGCTTGAGTATTAGAAGAAAAAATGCACTGAACCTCAAAAAAACAAAACAAATAAACGCCTTAATGATTCTGATTTTTAGCAGTTGGTAGATGTCTAACAAATAGAAGTGTAACTCTTGGAATATGGAGTTAAGTGGAAGGATTGAATTAACTTGTCATTTTAGTTGCTTGGGGACAAGCAACAGTTTAAGTGTGGGGGTGTGATAAGTGTGCAAAAGCATGCACTTTAGCACCCAATTAGGACTATATATTTACTTCATTTTACACCTTTCCCAATCCTATGTTAAGTATTTTAGTCTTATTTTATGGTTTTACATTTTATGGAGCTAGGATGTAGGAATGGTATTGTTTTATGTATTTAGTGAATACAATGTTGCCATAAGCATTATTGCAACAGATGTGTACGTTGCTTTGTAGTACCGGATATTGGCACAACCGGCTTAATCTTGGTAGATATTTTGAAAATCACATTTTGGAGGAGGACATCTTCTAGTACTGCTGACAGATGATTAATGAAAGAAGATGCTACTGAAGATGCCTTGTTTGTGTACTTAAGCATCTTTTGTATTACTTGTTGGTTAATAACCAATGGACAATTTATTTTTGTACCTATTAAGCATCTTTTGATTCATCTTGCTACTATATATATTGGGGTAATATTTTGTTTTAGATATTCCATGCCATCATAAACAAAAGCTTGCTACTTTTAATATTAATTTGAAGTTTTTAAGTACTTTTTAATTGTTTTTCGTTACTGTCAGTTGCTACAACAACTTTTACAAATTTCACTTTATTTTTCTTGCAAAATTTACTTTTATGTAATTTACATACATTCATTTCCATTCATGTCATTTACTTTTAAGCACTTATATTCAGTCATGCTAGGCTAAGTACTTTAGTGTGGATGTAAGTGAAGGTTGTGAGATTAAGCCAAGTGTTAGTGGATGATTGTTTTGCTAATAGCAATTTACTTCACTATTCACAAGTGGTATCAATATTTCATCTGGTAATATTTGACAAATTGACACATATTTAGTTTATTCAGAAAGCTGGACTTACAACTAAGATAATACAAATATTTTTACAAAGTGTGTTATAGAGGCTATAAAGAGTCGTAGTAATCTTAAGGGTTGCAAAACAATATGGAAAGAAACACAAGATGTATACTAGTTTGGTATTGATGCATCACTAAGTAGACTTCCAAATTATGGTCTAATCTGCACTTCATTTGAAGGTCGTTCAATCCAATAGTGTTGTAGAGAGCTATTGCTGCAACAAAACAACCTTGTGTTATGCTTAGCAATGTTCACTGCACTTCGTTGTTGAAATTCAACCTAATCTTGCATCCATACTATCTTTTAATTATTGTTATATTTCAGTATTTGGTTACCAACTTTCTCAAAGATATTTGTTTTCTGAAGCTTTATTGCTACCAAAACCCCTTTTGAAACCGCATATTGACTTTGGTGACTCTCTTTGCATTTTAAATCCTTGTGGAACGATATATGGTATCACTTACCACTATTATTTGCTTTGGACGATACTTGTGACCATGTATACTGACATGATTTACTTATTAATATAGCCTTTTGAGGATAACCACCACCGATTTGAACCACCACTAACCACCATTGATCTGAACCACCATTGATCTAAACCACCACCGACCACCATCGATCTAAACCATCGATGACTTGAACCACCACCCATCACTTACCACTATCAATCTGAACCATTACATACCACCACCCATCTGAACCATCTTCAATCGCTACCGATCTGAACCACCGTCGACCACCGCCAATCTGAACTACAGTCGACCACCGTCGATCTTAACCACTGTTGACTACCACCGATCTAAACTACCGTCGACCAACACTGATATGAACCACCGCTGACCTGAACCACGGTCGACCGTCGCCGACCACCACTGATCTTAACCACCACCGACTACCACCGATCTTAACCATAGTAATTGGATTTCAGTTTCAAAAATTTCAAAAAAGGACATTTTTGATCATTTGTCAATATTTCATTCCAATTCCAAAACTAGATCTCCTGAACCAAACAGATAGATTTTAATTCCATAATATATTCCATTCTAATGTCTTCCAACCACACAAATAGTCAAAATTGACAACATTGTGATACAATTCCATCAATTTTCCATCCAAAAAACATTTCGTGCCTAATCTCATGAAAGTTAAATTCCTTTGATAATTTATTACATTTCCATCCAAACACATTCTATCACATAGGGTGCGTTTGGTAGGCTGGACAGGGTGGGACAGGACAGGACAAAACACATTTGTCCTACGTTTGGTGTGGCTGGATATGGAACTAAGTAGAACTAACTTGGACAAACATAGGACACACGTGTTCCACCCTACACCCCTGGAACTAAATGGAACTCAACTCTTTTTCCCTCTTTACCCTTTTTCCCACCCGACTTTCACATGAACCCTCGCCTCCATCGCCTCCATCGCTTCCTCCCCGTCGACGGCGACATCTCTTGACGGCGAGCTCCAATCGACGGACGACGAGCTCCAATCGACGGACGGCGACCATCTCTTCGCCACTGTTCATCGTGACTGTTGCTTCTCTTCTCTCCATAACCCTTTTCATCGCCTCAAATCCCTAATCTGATTCACTCTCAAAACTGCATCGCCCCCTAACAGGTATGTTCTTAGCACAAATTGTAGTTGTTCATCGGCTTTTCTTGATTTATTACTTCAATTTGGACATGGGTTTTGTTTCTTGATTCATCGCGACTGTTGCTTTTCTTAGAACAGTGGAAGTCTAGTGATACCCGGCTATGTAAATGTTAGCTATGTAAATGATAGCTTATTTCTTACTTCAATCGGTTGCTTTTGATTTGTAAATGTTAGCTATGTCATCAATCTGTGTTGATTTTGGGGCTTATTTCATAAGCATGTGTTTTTATTTTTAAACTCTAGATGGTAAGTCTTATTACAGTTGATAGGTTCATGTTCATGTTGATTTTGGGGCATGTTCATGTTGTCTTGGCGGTTGGCTACTGCCATGGTGCTGTGGCAACCATGGCAACCATGGTGTTGTCTTGGCTGTTGGCTACTGCCACAGTTTCTTGCTCCTGTGTTGATAGGTTCATGTTCATGTGGCAACCATGGCAACCATGGTGCTGTGGCAACCATGGCAACCATAGTTTCATCTTCTGCCATTCTTATTTGTTAATTGCTAGCTTGGAAGACACTTTGGCCTCTCCCAACTCATTTGAGAACTCATCATAACAAGAATTGTGTATTTGTTTTTAATTGTTACTTTGTTGGGTTCCCTGTGATCAACACACATCCTAAAATTGCCATTTTTAACTTACCTGTCTGAAATTGCTGTGCACAACAAAGGCATCTGGCTGATGATGTGATCTGTGCAATTTTGGTTGATTCTGGTTGAGCAACTTTTTGCTGTTTGATTTATGCCACTGCTTATTTTGATTGCTTGTTATTGTTATTATTTAATTTATCAATATTAATATCAGCAGATTGTCTTAATTGGTACATTTATTATTGTTTAATGTAATTTGCTACTTTTGTGCCAAAACATGCAACACTTTCCATCTTGAGTTGCTTCATGAAAATGCAATGCTTTCGTTTTTAGTAATATCCCAATCCAAATATACCTATTTATGCATCTGCAATAAAATAGTTGTGTCTTTGCGTTTGGTTTACAATTTTTCTCAATGTTGTGTTAGTAAAGGGGGATTTTAGATATTTGATTATTAGTTGTATCTTCCCGTTAAACTCCATCTCATTTTTTAAACATTTTATAGTGACTCCATCTCATTTTTTTTTATGTAGAATGGATCGAAACCATGTACTTGTAGTTGTTAAAGTGTTGAAATCTTATATCGACTTGCTCATACTTTTGGTCAATTTTGCGAATTGGTTAATTGAATATGAACAAAGACAAGATCGGAGGAGAAGTTTAAGGCAAAGAACATTCACTAGATTACAAATTAGATCGATAAAAATCTAACGCATCACACGTGAAAGTGACATTATTTGTGTGAATGAGTTACGAATGGATAGGAATGCATTTGCTATTTTGTGTGAGTTGCTAAAAACACGGGGTGGACTATTAGATGATGGTAACGTGACAATTAAAGAACAAATTGCTACATTTGTAAACATTTTAGCACATCACACCAAAAATAGATGTCTTCAAGTTAGCTTTTATAGGTCGGGGGAAACAATTAGTAGGTACGTTCATCGAGTTTTAAGTGCTTTGTTGCGATTGCAAGACATTTTGTTTAGAAAACCAACTCCGGTAGAGGATGATTGTACCGACAGAAGATGGAAGTGGTTTAAGGTAATCCTTGTTAGTTTCTCTCATTACATGTGATATAAATTTTTTACCATTTAGCTAAAACCAAGTTATTTTCTTTATAGGGTTGTCTAAGAGCAATAGATGGAACATACATTGAAGTGACTGTACCTGAGTCCGATAAACCACGATACCGAACAAGAAAGGTCATATTGCGATTAATGTATTAGGTGCATGCACTCGGGACATGAAATTCATCTACGTTTTATCTGGTTGGGAAGGTTCAGCTACCGATTCTAGGGTACTACGAGATGCGGTTACACGAATTAATGGTTTAAAAGTCCCAATGGGTACTTACTATTTGGCTGATGCAGGATACGTCAATGGTAACGGATTTTTGGCACCATATAGAGGTACTAGGTATCATTTACGAGAATGGGAACACATTGGTCATACACCTTCAAATAAGGAAGAATATTTTAACATGAAACACTCACAAGCTAGGAATATCATAGAAAGGTGTTTCGGTATTTTGAAGAAGCGTTGGGCCATATTACAAAGTCCTTCTTTCTATCCAATAAAACTTCAAGGAAGGATGGTCATAGCATGTGCTTTGCTACATAATTTTATTAGGATGTACATGGTTCTTGATCCGGAAGAAAACACGACACTTACACTAGAATATATGCCTATAGGGGAAGAGCAAGTGGAATCCAACGATGATGTTGAATCTATTGATGTTATTGAATCGAGCAATGAGTGGACTCAATGGAGAGATGACATAGCCYAAGAGATGTTTGAGTCGTGGATGTCAAGTACATAAATGTACTCAATGTATTGTATTATCTATGTTTTAAATGTTGAATTTTAAAATGTTGTTAATGTTGAATTCTAAAATGTTCTTAATGTTGAATTTTAAAATGTTGTTAATGTTGAATTTTAAAATGTTATCATAATGTATTATTTTGTTGCTAATGTTGAATTTTAAAATGTTATCATAATGTATTATTCTAAAATGGCGGATAGACGTAATTGGAATATCCAAGAAGAGGATGTACTAATTAGCATTCTACAAGAGATTGTAGCCGCTGGTGGTAGGAGTGATAATGGGTGTTTTCGGACCGGCACGTATGAGCAAATTGTTTTAAAGATGCGTGAAAAGATTCCGGGCCTTAATATAACATCAAAACACATCCAAAACAAAATGAAGCGGCTCAAGGATAAGTATTCAGCAGCTTATGACATGCTGAATACAAGTGGATTCGGTTGGGATGATGCGCATCAATGCGTAACGGTGGATGCTCAAGTTTTAGAGGAATACTTAAAGGTAACGCTT